ATATATATAGCGTAATAAACAAATACAAAAAAAAACACGAAGAATATTAAGAAAGACAATAAGTTTTTCTTGCGGATATAATCGTGTGAGCTGATAAAAAGATTATATCTTTTATTTTCCGGTTTTTTATGATTTTTTTTCTTTTTTTCTCGGTTTCTTCTTATTTTTCTTTTTATCCCTTTTTTCATTGTTCTATAATTTTTTCCATGTTTTCTCTACATTTTGAACTGTATTTATTGAACCTGTTTGAACCTGTATTTATTGTTTTTTGTTTTTAAAAAACTTCTATCTGAACAGTCTCTCAAATGTATGCATAAATATGTGCTCTCACAAACATGTGTAGTTTTTAAAATGTTTAGTTACAGCACTGTATGCAAGAATGTAGGAGAGAGGGAGCTAATATGAAAAGGCTCTGCTATTTATTGATTAATTTTTTTCTAAAATCTGCTTTTTAAATTTTGGTAGTTAGTGTTGTGGTAGTACACTTAATTATTCAGTAACAGTTTATAAATGAAGGTTATTAAAGGGCTTTTCAATTGATATACGCACATTAATATTTCACATAAATGCAGAAATTTAGGATCTGCTGTGGTAGTACACTTAATTATTCAGTAACAGTTTATAAATGAAGGTTATTAAAGGGCTTTTCAATTGATATACGCACATTAATATTTCTCATAAATGCAGAAATTTAGGATCTGCAGAATAATTTTACACACTTTCAACTTATCCAACATTTAAGGACTACTAATGCGTACACATAACAATAATAACGTAATAATGATAATATGATAATACATAAGCAGCTAACAAAGTCATCTGCGTTATTTTTTTCTCCTGTATTATTTGCATACGCGCAAAATTATGCCTTCAAATTTTAAAAACTCATATTTAAAATTAATTTTCTGCTCATAAACTTTGAATTTTCTTTCAAATTGCAAATTAATTTCCAGAATGATTTTTTTTGGTAATTCAATAGTGAAGTTATTTTAAGAAAACTGTTTAATGTTTTAAAAATGTAAAAATAAATTATTCTTTGTTTCTGATTTCTTCTTTTTATTGTTATTATTGTACTAACTTTTGTCAATGAAAAACTTTTTTGTGAATTCAATTTATATCAAATAGAGCGAGAAGGAGGGGCATATTGGGGAGTACAGACATGCTCAGTATTTTTTCCCCTTAAAAATTAACATTGTTGGACATTAAGGGATGACTATTCTTATGTAGGGAGAGATTCTGAATGCATAAAAAAAAAAGTATGTTTCTAATAAGAAGTACGCTTTGTAACCAATGGGATACCTGCAGATGACGTGGTGTGGGTATCTCGATCCCGATTGGTTGTTGTAACAGGCATTTGTTTACGTTAGTAATTATTATTTTCATTCTATTTCGAGTAGGCCAAACCCGTCTTCTATCAATTCTCAAAGTGACACATTCTAAATTCTCTTAAAAAAATGATAAAGATTTCGATTCCTTCACC